ACTTATACATAAATAAATTCATTAGAATCCCTTCAATAAAAAATTAATTGAAATAAACTTTAACTATGAAGGACAAAAATATATAGACAAAGCAAAACAATTATATAAAAAAGAAGCAAAGTTCTTTGAATTATAGAAAACCAACCATGTTTGTGTTAATATTTTGTAGCATAACCATTATTATCAATCACCACCTGGCATCGTCTCGGCATAGATTCTAGAAGTTTCTTGATCTAAGATTCATCAATCTGTCTCCACTTTTGCTCTAAGGCGGCAAAAAGTTCATCGTTGTTTGAATAATTTTTATCTCGTATTTGCTTATCTAAGTATTCCCATAGATTTTCAATGGGGTTTATATCGGGAGACTGTGAAGGCCATTTAAGAACTGGTATTTTTTCATCCAGATAGAATTTCTTTGCCAGATTTGATGTATGCTTCGGGTCATTATCTTGCTGGAAGATTGATCTTAATTAAGGGCATATTGTCTTCCATATAGGGTAACATGACACGCCTTAGTATGTCTGTGTATACAAACTTATCCATAATGTCATCTATTCTATGTAAAGGTCCAATCCCAAACCCCGAAAAGCACCCCCAAACCATAACAGACCCGCCTCCTTGACTTTGACCATCTTTGTATAACTCAATGATCTAAGTTTTCACATCGAAAGAAATTTCTGGACGACGCGGCATGGTCTTAAAATCCCTCAACTTATTCCACAATACTTGATGAACACAAACTAATCCTCTTCTGACATGAAACTGTACTAAACTAATGTTGAAAAGAATTTGTCTACATAACTTTGTCCTTCATAAAAAAGTGTTTATAGTCAGACTTGTATTGTGTTCATTGCAGATAATGTAAAAACAAGGCATTTAGTTTTTCTACTAATAACGCATTTGTTTATGGAGCACTGAAGTATGAATTCGTTTTCTAAAGGTTTTTAGGTAAATATTCATATTTGTCTATATACTTTTGTCCATTACTGTACCTGTCGTGTTGATTTGAGTAGCATATTTATAATGTGGCAAGATTCTTGATAGAAAGAACGCGAAAAATAGGTTCATACAGACGTAGGGTGAATAATAGAGGGTAAATACTCGTGCCCCAGGTAAAACTCAGTTCCTAAATAAGGAATAAGCTCTAAAAGTAGGATGAATAAGGAAAGTACTAAGTACTAATTGTCATAGAAAACACTTGATTTCCCAATTTTGGGCAGACCTGTGTCATGAATGTTTCAATAAAATGGTTAATTTAATGGATTGTACATCAAAACCTTGTTTGCAACGAAGTCCTTTGTAGGCATCGGACAGAAAATCGTTGATTCACGTATACAAAATGCAAATACGTTTTTCGTGTTTAACTAGTAGTAGATATTTATTTACTCCATAATATAAAAACAATAATAACAATCTAGAATGGGTAAATAAATGTTTAAATCCACAGAAGGATGAGGCCTGTACATGGATCAATGCTAGATCGTCCAAAAACAAAACAAAAAAGGTTAAAGAAACTTATAGAAAAATTAATATCAAAGGCATATGTATATGTAGGTAGAAGACGATAGGTTTTAATGAATATTTGATAATAGTTCAACAATATGCTGTCTTCCTATTGAGCGTATTCATTTGGATAATTTCTATTTAAAATTATCTGTATTTCGAAACCGTTTTAAGTCTTTGGCTACGTGTTCATATAATTTTTAGAGCCAAACAGAGGAAAGATCGCTTCATTATGGTCTTGTGAGGTTTGGGTACAGTTTTCGCACGTAATTTATATTGAGTATCATGGCAATGTATTATTTTATTGCGCTCACTGACATCTTTGTCATAATTGCTGATAGTATGTAATAAATAAAGTGACATAGTATCAAATAATTTTGTTTCGTTGTACGAGTATAAATCGTTCATTGAATATAATTTTGATTTTCCGAACACAGTTCTCCGTAAAACATTCATATCATTTAAATATGCTGGACATGCTGTACCCCACCTTAATATGTCAAACATTAGATGCTCGTCTATTTAGGAATGATATATACTGCGGATATAATTTTCTATCAAGATACCTAATGTTATAAATTTAATTTTGTTTGTAACAAATCTTATTTTCTTCAAACTATAGGCTGCATGGATGTCCCACCTTAGATGTTAATGTTTGAAGGAAAGATTTGAATAATGGAGTTAAATGTCTTGCGTATGATGTGTAGATAATGCGTGTCTCCAAAGTTGACGGTTAATTTTCTTGTGTTGAAAAAAATGAATGATTTTACAAAAGTTATTCTCGATTAGTATCATTCGCAAAGCTGACCATTTTACCCACGCAGTCAATTTCCAAAATATCATTCAAATACGTATTAAATAAAAGAGAGACTAACACCGTACTCTGAGACACACCACATTTGACAAAGATTTCCTTACTGTATGATTGGATAGTCCCACTACTTGGTGCCATTTTGATAAATAACTTTGCATTTAAAAAATATTTTTCCACGAAAACCTCATTTGCATAAAATCTCTAACAGTAACTCGTGATTGACTGTATCGAATGCCCTTTTTAGATCGACAAATGCACAGGTAGATGGGTGATTTGATTCACTATACTTAGTGTACCATCTGTGGCAGATTTTCCTGCTACAAAACGTTTTGATTTGGACTTGAATTTATCCATCCTTTTAAAACCGAGTACGGCTATGTAGAGTTGTCCCCCTTCGGTCAACTACCGTAGACCGTATATAAAACATCGTTTTATCAGTAGCATGTTTAATCGTAATTACTTTAATAGCGGCTACTAACTGTGAAACTATTTAGCTAAACGCCATACGGGTACACTTCCAAGATACATTACAAAATCTAATTATCAGAGAAAATAAGGCAAAAAAGAAAACTTTTTGCTTTGGTAGAAGCCGATAAGTCGAAACGCTGACTCCATAGTCAGACCTAGAGCTACGTTGCTACGTTAGTGGATTCATGAAGAAAGCAATCATCCTCACGAGTCACGATCCGAATATTTTTCCATCTCACTATTAAGGTCCATTCACACTCAGCCGTGACGTGCCAGTGATTCTCGCTGACGTGAGCTCACAGTGTTTTAAAATCACACCGGTCAGTATTTTTATCCGTGCTCCGACTGCAGTTGTGTTTACGAGAGGTCGAAATGGCAAGAAGAAGCGAGAATAAAACGGAAGTCTATGTATACTAAGTGACATATAAATCCGAACACCCAGTTTAAATGGTTTTATTTTAATAAAAGTTGGTGAATGTATTTATCTTACTGTAAATAACAAGTGAAAAAATTTACAGCCTTATCAGTTGGACATTCCGGTTTTTATACTGCTTTTTTTTAATTCACTAACGCTCTAAAAATGAATATTTCAGCCGCAGTAAAGAATCAACGTTGGCGGATTTTGGTTCTTGACATCCTTTACGATCGGTTACGATGCCTAGAGTACGGAGACCTGTACGATTTCGTCAACTTAGTGAGTTTGATAGGGGCCGTATAGTGGGACTTCGGGAAGCTGGACTTTCTTTTCGGGCAATTGCAGTTAGAGTGCAAAGAAGTGTAGACACTGTGGTTAGGTGTTGTCAGGCATGGCTTCGAGAAGGCCGTACGTAAAGAGCAAGGGGCACTGGACGCCGCCGTAGAACAACAGACCGTGAAGATCACCGCCTATGATTATTGGCCTTAAGGTACCGTTTCTCCACTACCAGGTCCATTGCAAATGAATGGTTTGCAGAACACGGAAGACCTATTGGCATGCGAAGTGTTTACCGACGAATGAGAAGTTTTGGCTTGTTTTCATACCGGCCACACTGGGTCCTCCCTTTAACTCGAGAACACCGACGTAATCGCCTTGAGTGGTGCAGACAACGGTCACTCTGGGATCAGGAATGGAACAGTATTGTCTTTAGTGACGAGTCTCGATTTTGTTTAGGCATGCACGATGGTCGTGCCAGGGTTAGAAGGCGACGTGGTGAAAGGAGGAATCCACAGTTTTTTGTTGAAAGACATGTTCATCACACTGTTGGAGTTATGGTTTGGGGTGCTATAGCTTATGGTTCCAGGTCACCTTTAATCTTCATCAGAGGTAACATGAACGCGCAGCGTTATATCCACGAAGTTCTAGAACCCCATCTTTTACCCTATCTTGAGACCCTGGCAGATACAACTTTCCAACAAGATAATGCCCGACCACATGTTGCAAGAGTCACAATAGACTTCTTTCAACATAATGATGTCACATTGTTAACATGGCCACCAAGATCTCCCGACTTATCCCCAATTGAGCACGTGTGGGATATATTGCTCAATTTGCAACGTCCTCCTCAGACTCTAGAAGCACTTCGAGAGGAGTTGGTGGTTGCCTGGAATGAGATACCACAGGAGGACATTGACCACCTGATCAGAAGCATGCCTAGGCGCGTTGGAGAATGCGTAGCACATCAGGGTGCATCCACACATTATTAAAGGTCAAAGGGCTTTAAAGCAGTGCAATCATTTTGAAATTTTTATCGTTTACTTATTATGCTTCATTAAGTACTTATACAAAATTTTATTAAAATAAAACCATTTAAACTGGGTGTTCGGATTTATATGTCACTTAGTATATTTTGAATTTGACTGGTTCTACAGCACAAGATGTGCGCGTTCAAATTCAATTAGTTTTTCATCATTCATGTTTTTGACCAAATATATAAAAACATTCACGAAATTACATAAAAAGACGGCCGTGAAAATCGAGAAATATCGTTCCAAAACAATGCGATAATCACGGTACGGCATCGTCGATGGCACTGAGAACACGATCACTTCCACGTGCTGCTCTTAGTGTGAATCAGTTCATCCAAATTCCAGGAAGAATCTTTTTTGTTTCACAGGGCGGATCACGTGCCGGTCACAGCACTGTCACGTCGCAGCTGAGTATGAACAGGCCTTAACTTGTTATTTGAGTTAGACCGAGTAGATATTAGAGAATGCAAAGTTAGGTTCAGGAATTTACCTCTGCCGAAGAGCGGTATCTCCAACCACCACATCTAAAGGGCTGATAGATCGATTCGGTGCAAGGTTTCATCGTTAGAGCTGGTTTATGCGATAAATAATCAATTATCTTGTATCTTAGCCATATCGGTGCTAGGGTTTGCTAGTTAGTTTACACGTTGAATAACGTATTCTACCTGATCGTATCCGACCTAATGCTATATCCCCGCGCTCAGGAAATTTTCCGAGATGAAATGAGATACCTTAGCGTCATCTATGAGAATTTGTCACAGCTGTTTCTGTATTCTCTATCCTGTATATTATGGAAAGGTTGGTATCTCATAGATGGCGATGCAGTCACCTATAGGCTTGCTTATGCTCATACAGTCAGTCTATTTTTTTATTTAACTCTTAAGAGAAAGCACCGATCTACCCGTATGAGCAATAAACATGTTTTTTGAACTAACTACAAAAAATATATGCGTATCACTTCAGCCAGTGATCTCTATCTGATACAGAATTGAAGTCAAACAGCGTTTTAACTAGTTGGTTATTTGACAAACATTACGGTCTGTTTGAACTCGTGGATCAGTGCTTTGATCGTAGGCAGAGGTATATCGCGAAAAATATTGCAGTGGGAACGTAGTATGGTGAGACCACGATCATTCTCCGGACCTTGTCTGGACCCACTGAATTATGGCAATATTGCTTTTGCATTATATGCCACAAAACTGGATGCCATGCGTTCACATTGCTTAATCAAAGCATTATAGAGTAATAGCTTGTTGTATAATGAAAGTTTAGATTTCTAACCAATAATCCAATACATCTCTTTGAGTTTAATGTCCATTTGTTTCTTTTTTGAGATCTCGTGCAGTTGCCATGTTACCCTGTGTACATGGGTTCCAAGATCGCATGATTTGATTGTGGAATTTGTAAATTATTCGTTGTTACTGGTGAGCAGGTTTTTCTAAATGTGTGGACTTAGTTTCATTAAGCTTATGCACCATTTCTCTAATCAGTAATCAATTTGGAACAAGTTTTTCTGGAGATTTCGCGAAGCTATGTCTTGATTCTCATGTGATGCGAAAATAGCCGTATCATCTGTAAATACCTATTACTATGCTAATATCATTTGCAGTTCGTAGATCTGCAATATAATCGCCATCTATAAGACACTACGTTTTCAAAGTTTATATAGTAGTAGAAACAGCTGTGACACATGTTGCTTCTGGTGTTCCTCAGGGTTCCGTGCTTGGTCCTTTACTATATTTAGTTTATACTTTTGACTTACATACTGTATTACAGTTTTGTAGTATTCATACTTACGCAGACGATACACAATTGACCTTCACTTTTGACTCTACTAATGTGGATCAAGCTTCGTATAAAATAAATTTAGATCTGGTAACTATAACTGACTATTGCAAGGCTAACTCTTTGAAGCTCAATCCTACCAAGAGTTTTGCGGTGTTGTTCTGTCCCAAAACCAGCTATGAGCATTTTGAAAGGATGATTGATTTGAGGGTAAATAATGACCATATTCCACTCGTCACGCATGCAAAAAGTCTAGGTGTTACTTTAGACGTAAATCTTAGATTTCATCACCACGTCAGTAATATATCTAAGCTACATATGCAAGCCTAAGACTCCTATACTCCAATCGTTCTATTCTCAATTTCAAGACTAGAAAGAAATTGGTGGAAAGTTTAGTTATGTCTAAGCTGCTTTACTGTTTTATACTATTTTATCCTTGTCTCGACTCCATAACAAAACCAGATTGCAGAAAATTCAAAATTGTTGTTGTCGTTTTGTTTTCGGCCTTCGTAGGTATAGCCATGTTACATCCAAGATCTGTGAGCTGGGGTGGCTGAAGCTCAATAATCTTTTCAAGTTTCATATGTTGGTTTTTGTACATAAAACAGTCGTTACCAAGAGACCTATTTACCTTGCAAATAAGTTAGTTCCGCGTAGGAATTTAATTTCAAGGAGGTTACGTCATGATGAACAGTTCAATATTCCTCTTCACTACACCGCATTATATCAGAGATCTTTCACGTATAATGCTGCTGAGCTTTACAATTCAGTCAGTGCGGCTAACAAACAAGAAAGTTTACTCTCTTTTAAGAAATCAGTTGGAAAACAGCTATTGGAGATGCAATCGTCTCTCAGTGTTTGAGTTGTTGGTTTGTTTTATTTTTATGACACTTTATTATTATTATTATTATTATTATTATATTAATAGTTCAAGTGTGCATTTGTTTCTTTTTCTTATTATCACTATTGTGTTTGTGTATCGAGTTTAACTGTGTTACTCTTTCGTACACAGTGAGGTTAAGTGTAAGAGTAGCCATTTGGCTAAACTTCGCCTCACTGATGTATGCTGATTAATAAAGACATTTATTATTATTATTATTATTACATTATGATAGATAACGATTCGGCATCTCATTTTATCTCGAATATTTTGTTTGGACACGGGAATATTGCTATATAGGTTGGCTATCTTCAGATAGAATGGATTAAAAAAAAATGAAAGGCGGACATAGCTTTTGCATCTTTTATTGCCAAACTTTCTGCAACAGTTACACAAACAATTTGTATCCTCATTGACTGTAAATTTGAAAGTAATTTACACTCTCTTCACAACGACACCGCTCCTTTGAAACGAAATGCCAACGGACTAATTTATTCGGAATATTTGCCAACAAGACCAACCTTACCGGTTATTTTTCATGCGGACGGTAAGCCGCGACAACGCAACCATGCTAACCAGTAGCTAATTGATTTAATATATTTTGACGTAGCTTGTAAACAAGTTATTTTAACTATCGGCAGCTTATTTGTACCGTTCAAGCTGTCGCCACGTATTTACGGCAACGCTCCACGATACGACGCGTCGCGACGACGATTTTCCGACGGTGCCGGTAGCTAAATCACTAAATCACTGTGGGAGGAGTTTCGCATGAGCACTGGAAGGGGTTTTCACGACTGTTTAGTCGATGTTCCAGCAGTCGAAACGAGAAATACCAATAAAACGTTCTTTATGCCATTCACACCTCATTAACAAACTACAGTAAGCTTATAATCCAAAGCCACCATAAGAACATGACAATTGAACAAAGTTTATCAATCAAATACCTTGGGAGCTTCATAGATCGTTATCTAAAGTAGGATATTCACGTAAAATTTGTCATGAAAAAATTAAGATATCTAGTACATACACTCAACATTCTTAGTAATATACTAACATTATCTCAGTTAAAAATAATATACTATACATTTCACTTATTGACAGTCATATCTCATATGCTGTATCAGCGTTGGGTGCAGCACTAAATTAATACATTTCACCTTTACATGTATTACAAAAAATGATTCTAAAGACATATAATAAACCCATAATATATCCAACAACCTAGCTATTCAACATAAAAGATTTCTTGGATTTACATCAATTTATTGTATTTCTATAAAATTAAACTAACGATTAGACCAGAATTATGATTTACGAAGCAAAGTCAACCAAGTCATTTCTATGGGGCATTCCGCAAGGATAATTATTTCATTTTTTATGTCACGCTCAAATCTTTGCCTTTTGTGGTTTACTTACTTATTCATCTAATGTTTTATTTTTTTTTACAGGGTGTGATATGTTTTATACAGGATGTTTCAAATTCGGCCTTCACGATTAGAATCTCCGAGACTGTAAGGGATACTAAGTCTACTTAAATGAGGACACAGTTGATCAACCAGCTTAGCAAGTTTTGAAATTCAAAGTACTTTCCGAGTCCGAAAACACCGAATTTTTCCAAAGTTGTTTTAATTTTTTCCTGTCTTTATTTGTAATGGGATTTCAAAACAACTTACACATTAACATTCATTCATATTGGATTTTCGGACAGATGGATAGAGCTTTCTATTCTGATTTCAGAAATTTATAATACGTCATACATTGACATTGCCATACCTTAGTTATTTCAGAACAACTAAAATTACAAGGTAGGCCTTGAAATTTATCAGATAGTTCAGAACAACTAAAATTACAAGGTAGGCCTTGAAATTTATCAGATAGTCATTGGTTTCGCATACCAGATTTATCTTAAAATCATTTTGATTTTTTCCTAAAATGATTTAAAACGGGAATATAAGATAAATTGTGTGTTGTTATTGCCAGTTCCTCTGCAAGATGGCGTAGTCACATTTTCAATACGTGGTTTGTTCTTCTTCTAGACTGCCATCACCGACTTTGTTATTCATATGAACGCGATATTGGAATTTTGTACATTTAAATGGACTAAATTAAGTGATGTATTTCCTTATTTCCTCATTAGTTTGATGTTGGTTGAAAATTATAAGGAAATAAAAAGGTATGGTGAAACCTGAACATAACACCAACATTTTATTGATGGTAATAACAATGATAATCATAAATAAGTAGAGGTAAATCATAGCAGATGTTCAAAATGTCCGCTATCTTGTAGGCAAAGCCTGACTCTTCTCTGTACATTGTTCACTGCTCGATTTATTTCTCTTCTTCCCGGTCTTCTCCTGGTCTGGTATACGAAACAAATTAAATCTGATAAGTTCAAGGCCTACCTAGGAAATTCTGTTTTCTCTGGAATCACTAAGGTTTGGCAGTGTCAATGTATGACATATTATACATTTTTGAATCAGAATTCAAAACTCTATACATGAGTGCAAAAATCCAAGAAAAAATAAAGTTCATGCTCGAGGACGAAACGTCATATTGGAATTCCATTTATGCCATCATGTAGAGGAGAAAAGTGCAATGTTAATGTGCACGTTGTTTTGAAATCCCTCTTTCTGTTTTTCTCCGAAAGTACTTCGAATTTCGTAACTTTCTAAGGGGCATTTTGTAGATTGCTTAAAGCCACAACTTTGCCCTAATTTAATCAACTCCGTACCTCTTACATTTTGCGAGATCCCAATGGTGAGGGTGAATTTGAAACACCCTGTATAATGATGAATAAATATTTGAGTTATTTAAATTTGATAGAATGTACTTGCAAGCCTAGGTCAACGGTACCTTTTAATAGAGGTTTCAGAGTATACTAATCATTTTGAAATATT